GGCAGTCAAAGCCATCGAACAGGCAGCCCGCCGAGTTGCACTGGCTGTCACAGCGGCCGTCGCTGAAGTACTTCCAGCACTGCAGGGACTGTGAGCAGTTCTTCCACGGGTCATTGAAGTTAAGGGAGCAGTCGCCGCCGTCCCAGCCACAGGCGTGGTTGTTGCACTGTAGGCTGCAGACCTTGTTGCCCGCGTCCTCCTGACACTCGGGCAGCTCACAGGCCTCTTCAACCTGCGGCGGGGGGATGTCACGCCCAGCGCCTCCCGCGAAGCTGTAGTCCAGGATGTGGCACAGGAGCCCGTTGAACTTGGCGGGGCACAGGCAGCGGTAGAAGGGGCTCTCGGCCATGGGCTCACAGGTGCCCTGGTTGTAGCAGGGGTTGCTGCCTACGCAGGGGCTGCTGGCTGGGAACTGGCACTCGGGGCCCGTGAAGGCGCCCAGGCACAGGCAGGTGGGGCTTCGCGGGCCCGAAATGCACGTGCCACCATGGAGGCAGCGCAGAGTGCCGCATGTACGCCCGTCGTTCTCGCAGGTGGCGCCCTCGAAGCCCTGCACGCGGGAGGCGGACAGGTGTCAGGGCAGCTGCTCCCAGCACCACTTGCTGGGCCAGGTGCCACTGTATCCCCTCCCCGTGGAGTACCCTCGCGTGATCTCAGACCAGGGAAAGGCCCAGGAGTGCAGAGGGAAGGAGGGAGCGGGACACGGAGCCCAGAGCGCTCAGGGCTGTGACTCTCTCCAGCATGACCCTGTGATGGTGGCCGTGTGTCCTGCCACACGAGCCCAGAGCAGCCCTAGAGCAAGCCGTGCCGCCACGACCCACTGCCACATGGCGCGACACCACGCCGGGCAGGGGCCACAGGGCCTCTGCATCTGCTCTTCCACAGACCCGAGCCTGCTCACCAGCGGCATGTTCAAGAACGTGCCTGGGGAACGAGGCTGGGGTAGCAAGGCCCCTCACTGGCCGGGGGTCAGCACTGCACCTACCGCAGGGCACCTGCAGATGAAGCCACGGGCGGTGTTGGCGGCCACAGCGCAGGCGCCCCCGTTCTTGCAGGGCTTGCCCTTGCAGCCGTCGATGACCGACTCGCAGCGGCGCCCTGGGGGAGGAGGCAGGGGCAGCGTGCCCGTCAGACCCCGCGCAGGCCACAGGCCCCGCCCGGCCCTGTCCACTCCCAGCAGCACCCACCGGTGTGGCCGGCGCGGCACTCGCAGTGGAAGTCGTTGACACGCTGCACGCAGTTCTGGGTGCCGCGAGCGTCACACGGGTTGGACAGGCACTCGTTGACGTCGCCCTCACACCGCTCGCCCACGAAGCCCGGCGGGCAGGTGCAGGTGTAGCCACCCACCTGGTCCACGCAGGTGCCGTTGTTGAAGCACTTGGGGCTGCGGGAAGCGGGATTGAGGAGCGGGCTGCAGTCATCCATGTTGATCTCGCAGTGCACACCTGCAGGGGACGCTTCAGTCAGGGCCGGCTGTGTCCCCCACAGCCCGAGGCCCATGGCAACCCCGGGGCACATCCCCTGCTGCGCAGACTCTCGGCCCACAGGCGGGCTCCAGGGTGTCACGGCCAGGGAAGCCTGGCCTGCATGCTCAGTGGGCAAGGTGGCTCACCCTGCGTGCCCCGTGGGCAGGAGCACTTGTAGGTGTTGGTGAGGTCAATGCAGGTGCCCCCATTCTGGCATGGCTGGGACAGGCACTCGTTGATCTCCTCCGAGCAGTTGGCCCCATGGTAGCCAGCCACGCACTGCGGGACAGAGGGTGGGCGGGTCTTGCAGGGCCGAGGACCTGGCTGACCCTCGTGCCCAGGAGGCCCTCGGTGTGCCCGGGCCAGTCTGGTCGTGGACGAGGGCTGGCCTGCGGGCTGGGCACCTGCCCCACTGCTCATGCCCCACTCCTCCTCCAGCTGCCTTCCCCACACCCGGCCCTGATGGCCAGGGCCATCAGGCTCAGACCCCTGCAGTGCCAGCTCAGGTCTCAAAACCCATCTGGGCGCCCACCTCACCTTGCAGGAGTAGCCGCCCAGGTAGTCGGTGCAGGTGGCCCCATTCTGGCAGGGGCTAGGTGAGCACTCGTCCACCTCCCCCTCGCAGTAGCTGCCCGTGTAGCCAGCCTGGCAGCGGCAGTGGTGGGTGTTGCCCGCATCCACGCAGAGTCCTCCATGCTGGCACAGGTGGGTGACATCGATTCCTGTGGGGACAGGGGTGAGGCTGGGGCTCCCGGCTCGGCCCCACCCTGGCCTGTCTCCACACCCTCCTGGCCTGGTGGCACAGGGGTCGGGGCTGGGCCCCGCTCTGACCTTGCTGCTTCGCCGCTACCTCGCAAGAGACGCTGGGCACATCACAGTAGAGGCCGGTCCAGCCGCTGTGGCACTCGCAGCGGTACAGGGTGCTGGTCTGCCAGCACTGGCCCCCGTTTTTGCAGGGGGAGGAATCACACCAGCGCACGAGGTTCTAGGGAAAGATGGGCCAGCAGCTCAGCACCTGCAGCCCGGATCCTGTGCCCCAGGCTGTCAGCACCCACATCAGCCAGAGCCTCAGGTCCAACATGCAGTGACTCCGCTCCGGAGGTGGAGATGGACACGGGGCCTGCTGCCTGGGAGAACCAGGGTTGGGGTCCACCTCTCCCGAACATCTTTATGATGGTTTTTGCAAGAACATTCCACGAATATGTTCAATGCAGATAACCAGCTCCCGTAAAAGCACCAGGTTCTACCACTTTCTGGAGGACTACGTAGTTCCCAGGTGGCTCTGGGAGCCACCGTGGGACCTGCACCATATCCCCCCATCTACACCCCCTACCCCCTGCACACGGAGGGCCCCGTCCTGAGCCTGACCCTCCTCTCTCCAAGCCCAGAGCTGCTGCCCTCCTCCGCCCCTCGGCAGCCCTGCTCACCTGGCAGTTGAGGCCGGTGTAGCCCTGTGGGCAGGTGCACTTGTAGGTGCCGTAGCTGTCCTGGCAGGTGCCACCGTGCAGGCAGGGCCTCGAGTCGCACTCGTTGATGTCGTGCTGGCAGTAGCTGCCCGTGAAGCCGGGCGGACACAGGCAGGTAAAGGAATTGATGCCGTCCACGCAGGTGCCACCATTGAAGCAGGAGCTGGAGGCGGCAGCAGCACAGGAGGGGTGAGTGGCACCTCTGGGCCGCAAGCCCCATCAGCCTTACACCATCTCCCGCTCCCTTCCTGGGCCTTTCGTCATTGCTCAGGGAGAGGGGCTGGACGACACGCGAGGCTGTGCGCTCTGCTCTCCTGGGCTTGCAGGTGATGAGTAGGAGCTGACTGCTGTTCGGAGGTGGCTTGGCTAGACCTGGCACCTGTGCCTGTGACCCGGAAGACCTTTGTTCCTCCCCTCTGTGCTCCCTCTCTCTCTCACCTCCACAAGGTGAGCAGCTTTCCAACCTTTTTGAAACTGTTGGGCCAGCACAAATCTCCCCCTTGTGAGCTGTTTTTCTCTGGTATTTTGTTCCAGGGACACACAGCTGACTAACACAGGTGGGTGAGGTACTAGCGAGAGAAAAACCAGAGCCAGGCACGATGTGGGACAGAGCTGTCCCAAACCAGAGGTCGCCTGGCATCCAGTGCTGGACTTCTGGAGACGCAGGGCTCAGGAGAACAGGATGGGCTAAGATGGTCTTGTGTGATAGGAGGCAGCACTGCCAGCCCTTCGGGGTGAGCCACAGGAGTCTGGGTTCTGGGCCACCAGAGGGGGTCACGAGCTCTTTCAGGGGACACTGCAGCACGGCCAGTGAGGTCAGCTCAGTGCTGTACCCCGGGGCCGGGCAGACTCCGGCGTGTGCCTCAGCTGCTGGGCACCGCGTGTGGCCTCACATCCGCTCGGCGCCCACCTCTCCGTGCAGTCAGGCGTGTTGTTCTCACAGTGGATGCCGTTGAAGCCCGCGGGGCAGGTGCACGTGTAGCTGTCCACGCAGTCAGTGCAGTTGGCGCCATTGCGGCAAGGGCTGCTGGCACACTCGTTGGTGTCCTCCTCGCAGAAGGTGCCCCGGAAGCCAGGCAGGCAGTCGCAGAAGGCTGCGTCGACGCCATCAGTGCAGGAGCCCCCATTGTGACAGGGGTCTGAGGGGAACAGGAGGGCGAGCCTGAGAGGGGGCACTGCCCGCAATGTGGGGATGGAGTACACAGGTGTGCCTGCAGGGAGGCCCAGGAGACCCTTTACAGCAGCTTGTGCGGGATCTGGGCCCCAGGCCAGGGTGGAGGGACTTTTACCACCTCAGCAGGCCAATCAAGGGTCCAGTGACATGTCCCTGCCTTTCTCAACTGGGTGAAGCTGGCCTCAAACACACAGCAATCCTCCTGCCTCAGCCTCCTAAGTGCTGGGGTTACAGGTGTGCACCACTATGACCGGCATTCTATTCTTATTCTAAGACGGGATCTTCAAGCTGCCGAGGCAGGACTTGAAATTTCAGTCCTCCTGCCTCAGCCTCCTTAAGTACCAGGATTAGAGGCACGCACCATCGCACCAGGTCTAAACCTCTGCTTTCTGTGGTGCCGGAGAGGGGATTCCCGTACCCTGGTGGGGCTGGACCAGGACTAAGCCTCAGGCTGGAGCACTGGCTCACCCCACACCAGCACCGTCCTGGGGGAGAATCATGCCCTGCTCCGGTGCCTTGGCTCCCTGGCACCCAGCTGGGAGTGCCGAGCAGGCTCCTGGAGAGTGGTTGGCCACACGAGGCCTGGCGTGGAGCCTGGAGGGCGTCCCGCACCTGGACTTGCTCCCTCCCAAGACTCAGGTGGTGGAGCAGGCCCGGGGCCTGGCCTCTCTGGGCCCTGACAGTGGACACTGCCAGGGCCGGGCGGCGGCAGAGCCACCGTCCCCCTCCCACGCGCACCGCAGCGACGGCCACTCACTGGGCCGGCAGTCGTCCACATCAGTCTCACAGTCGCGTCCGGCGTAGCCGGCCTGGCAGCGGCACCGGTAGCCCCCGTCAGTGTTGTGACAGGACGCACCATTGCGGCACGGGCTCTTCACACACTCGTTGATGTCAACCTCACAGGTCTGCCCTGCAGGGAGGTGGCTGGCTGGTCACCCATGGCCTCCGCCTTCGGGGCCCCGTCCAAGCTGCGGCGCCCACCCACAGTGCCTCTCCCGACCCCACAGGGGTGTCCACGGCCCCACAACTGCCCCGTGCCCCAATTTTAGGTCAGGACAGCTGCGGATGTGCAGGGTGGGAAGGGACAAGGCCAGTTCCCAGCTCTGCAGCTTCCCTGAGTGTGGGCCTGGCCGGGGCCCCCAGGCCACCCCGCTCCCTGCCCATCTCCGTCGGGTCCAGGCCAGCCTCACCCTGCCAGCCACTGGGGCAGACACAGGAAAAGCTTTCATAGTCCTCGGACTCCTTACACACTCCGCTGTTCTTGCAGGGGCTGGGGACACACGGGGCCAGCACCACCTCACACGTGGTTCCTAGGGAGACACACTTGGTGAGGCCTGGGCATGGGTGTCCTGGGCGGAGCCCACAGATCCGCCGGCCACACCTGCCAGCTGTCCTGCGTCAGCACCCACACCTGGCCCTACAGGGAGGCGGCGTGATGGGTGACAGGTCCTGAATGAGCGGGAGCAGACAGGGATGCTGAGGACAAGCCACACTCTGAAGCCACCTCTCTCTGCCTTGTGGGCTGCGGGCATAGCTGGGACTCACCCTGCCGGAGGTTCCAGGAACAGGTGCCAGGACAGGTGCCCCAGCTGGGTGGGGCCTGGGCCGCCCTCACCCCTTCCCCATGTCCCTGTGAAGAGCTGACTGCAGCTCTGGGTCACTGGAGGCCGTGGACAGAAGGGACAAGGTGTGGCACCAAGACCCCAGGCACATCCTGCCTATGGGCGCCATCTCTGGGCCTCAGGCTGGGTAGGGACCCGGTGACGGCCACAGGGGCCTGTGTGCACCGAAGTGACTTCCGCAGGCCAGGTCACCTCCTGTTGATGGTGCAGGGCCAGCCCCCGAGAGCAAGGAAGCAGTACCTTCCTTGTCTCCCCACGTCCCCGGCCCACTGGTGTGACTTTCCAGGGACCTCTATCGGTTTCCACGGTGACCTAGCCAGGCAGGAACTTCGCCAGAGTTTCCGACAATTGTGCAGAGGAAGCAGGAAGCGGGCAGGCAGGAAGCGGGTCAGCACGGCCCGTCCTCCCGCCCGCTGCTATCAGTGCCTCCAAAAGGGACACAGGCGCGCCCGGCCTCTGAGCGTCCTCACTGACCAACAGAGACAAAGTCCAGGCCCCTGGCTTTAGTCAAAGCAAACAATTTCCTGGCCCCGGGCCGTGGGTGTCATGGGAACATGGCACCCCTACTCCACCCCGGCCCAGGCAGCGCTTTCTGCCCAGCCCCTGGGACTGCTGTCGAATGCCTTGGACAGCTCTCTGACAGGGACCATTTCCTGCGACCCCCGTGGCCACGCCCACAGCAGGGGCTGGATGCTAGGGGAGGCAGCTTCTCTCTCCTTGGCCCCAACACAGGGCTCCTTGTTCCCCAGCACAAAAAGGCTGCCGTGAAAGGAATCCCTCGGCCCAGCTGGGGGGAGGGCGGCCCAGCCCACAGAGGCCCGAGAGATGAGGAAGGCCAGGGAGACCCCACAGGCCCAGCCTGGGCACCACCTCAACAGTCGCACGGCCTTGCCTCTGCCACAGGTGCCAAATGAGGTGCCTGGGACGCACCTGTCTACCTGTCTGCTCACCCGCCAGCCCCGAGCCCAAACGCAGCAGAGCCCAAGGCCCTCCCACAGCGCAGAGCCGCCAATGCCCACCTGTGTAGGGCAGTGGGCAGTTGCACTTGTACCCAGCCACGTCGTCGATGCACGCGCCCTGGTTCAGACACGGGTTGGACGCGCACTCGTTGATGTTGGTCTGGCAGTTGGGGCCTGCGGAGGGGGCGCGGTCAGCGGCGGCGGCGGCAGGAGGAAATGCGTGGCCGTGCTGGCCTGGCCGCGTCCCCCAGGCCCGCGCACCACACCACGGCTCACCGCTGAAGCCCTCGCGGCAGGTGCACACGTAGCCGCTGGTCATGTCCCGGCAGGTGCCGCCATTCACGCAGGGGTTAGACTCGCACTCGTCGTTGTTGACGTCACAGTTCGTCCCACTCCACCCAGGGTCACAGTCACATCGGTACCTGGAGGAGCGGCCACACCCCGGGTCAGCGTGGGCCGAGCTCTGACACCCGGAGTCCATCCACGGGGATCCGCGCACCCTCTAAAGTGAGACAACGCCCAGTAGGGAGCACAGTGGGGCCTCTGAGATGGGCACCGCGGCCAGGCCCTTCCCACGCGCCCACTGGCAGCGCAGGGCTGAGCATGGTGCTCTGCGCATGGCAGCGTGAACGGCTCCTCCCGCCGACACCGGCGGGTCAGGCCCTCCTCACCAGGAGTGCTCTCGGGTCCCGCGTACCCATTGAGGCTGTCCAGGCAGGTCCCATGTATGCAAGGGTTGCTGCTGCACTCGTTGACCTCGGACAGGCACGTGGGGTCGTGGTAGCCCTCGGGGCAGCGGCAGGTGAAGCCGTTGATGCCGTCCTCGCAGGTGCCCCCATTGTGGCAGGGGCTGCCCGCACACTCATCCACATCGATGTTGCACATGCTCCCTGTGGGCAGAGCCGGGGGCTCAGCTGGGCCTCGGTCCCCCAGCTGCTGGTGCCAGCTGCACCCGTGATGCCCACTCCCTCCTGCCACCCTCCCAGTAGTGCCTGTCTGACCGCGGGACATGATCAGGTGCACGGGGAAGCGGCAGCAGATGTCTTCTGCTCAGAACCCAGCCACGCCCAGGGCTGCTGAGGGACACAGACAGGGCCGTGCTGACCAGTGATGGAGTGCGGCCCCTCGGCCCTCTCCTGGTCTCTGCGGTAGGCAGTGCAGCCTGCCAGCTCCACAGCCTTTGTCACCCCTGCCCTTAGGCCCCTAAGTCCCCACAGATCAGCCTGTCCGAGGGGCCTGGGTGGACTGTGCCCCTGCCCTCAGCTCTGCCTGTGCCCCGTGGACCCCTCACCCGTGTAGCCCGGCTCGCAGGCACACTCGTAGCCATCGATCTTGTCCAGGCAGGTGCCAGCATCGCAGGGGTTGCTGGCGCAGTCGTCCAGGTTGATCTCACAGTTGGGTCCTGAGGGCACAGTGGTGTGGGGTGGTCAGTTCCAGAGCCCTACCCACCCTGCCCACCACGCCCACCCAGCGCCGGCCTCAGCCAGACACCTGTGGTCCCCTTGAGGCAGAGGCAGAGGTAGGCATTGTCGCGGTCCTGGCAGGTGCCCCCGTGGCGGCAGGGCTGGCTAGAGCACTCATTAATGTTGGTCTCACAGTGGTGGCCAGTGTAGCCTGGCTGGCACAGGCAGGTGAAGGCAGCGATGCCGTCCTTGCAGGAGCCGTAGTGGCAGGGATCAGGGTCACACTCGTTGATGTCCACCTCACAGTGCGTCCCTGTGTACCCTGTGCCACAGGAAGGCTCAGGGCCAGCTGCTCCCTGAACCCTCGCCACCCTCACACCCGGCCCGGGAAGCTGCGACCAGCCTGGATCACAGTGCTTGCTTGGGGTGGGCTGCATGAGCCTCATTGTCCCTCTTGGAGCCTTGGCCGAACTGTGCTTCCTCCCGGCCCCTGCCCTCCCCGCTGGCCCGCACAGCTCCTCCGCACCTTCTGTGCACACACAGGTGTAGGTGTTGGGCCCATCCAGGCACTTGGCGCCATTCCTGCAGGGCGTGCTGGCGCACTCATCCACGTCGTACTGACACAAGTGCCCGCTGAAGCCTGTACCAGAGAGGGCCAGTGTCATGGATGGTGCCATGGCCCCATGCCTCTCCCCAGCCAGGCTCCAGCCCAAACTCGACAGCAGACCCTGGTTTCACCCGGCCCCTCACTGCCTCTGCAAGGCGGTGACCAGTGGGCTGCTGGCCTTCACCTCTGGAGAAGACTCACTTCTGAACCCTTTGGTTGCTATGGCAACAGCTACTCCAGGCTGTGAATGGGACTCCCCTCCCTGTCTGTGTTTGAGGTGGCTGATTTACATCTTGAGAGGCCCTAAGGCCCAGCCCTGCCCCTGGAGGCCCCTCTGCTCCTCACTCCTGGTTCTGGCCTCCCAGAGCACCAGAAGGGGCACAGATTCCCCACCTGAGAGAATGCATGGTGATCCAGTGCCCTTCTTCCCTGGAAGGAGGGTTGTGCTCCATCAGCAGGAGGGGGCGTCTTGGCCCTGTGAACCCGTACCCAGCATACCCGGCAGGATGGGGCTGCAGGAAATACCCTCAGCACTCCCAAGGGAAGGTGCTCACTTCGCAGGAGCCGGGACCCCGAGGAGTGGGAGCAGGGGCGGTGGCAGGATGGACTGGGCGAGGCTCACCGGTTGGACACTCGCACAGGAACTCGCTGACCCTGTCCAGACAGCGTCCATTGTGCAAGCAGGGGCTGCTGGCGCACTCATCTGTGTTGACCTCGCAGTACACCCCCTCGTAGCCTGGGGACAGTGATGCCACAGATTGCCTCAGGGGCCTCCACTACAGCCCCTCGAGTGGGAGTCCGGGGCAGCTGAGTATCCAGGCCACTGTGGCAACCCCTCTGCCTCCCAGGGCTGCTGCATCCACCTGGCCCTGGCCCACTCACTGCTGTGGCCTGTGGGCCTGCCTCAGCTTCCCCAGATGACCCCAGAGACCGTGACCTGGGTGAGAACTGAGGCCTCCCAGACTCGGCCCCTGCAGGACCCCTGCATGGCCCCTGCCTGCTCACCCGGCATGCAGATGCACTGGAACTCCCCGATCTGGTCAAGGCAGGTGGCGTCGTTCTGACAAGGGTTGGAGATGCACTCATTGACGTCGATCTCACAGCGGGGGCCGGTGTAGCCCTGCAGACACTGGCACTCGAAGGAGCCCAGGGTGTTGATGCACTTGCCCGCATGCTCACAGGGGTTGGCACCTGCAGGAACAGGAGGGTGCCAGTGAGGGGCTGTGCCGGGCACCCCAGCCTCCCCCAGCAGACTGGAAGCCCCGTGTCCCCTGCACCCTGCACAGGAACTTACCCAGCGCACATTCATCCACATCCTGGCTGCAGGCCGGGCCCGTGTACCCTGAGGGGCAGGTGCAGATGGCCTTGCCGTTGACAGGGTTGGTGTCACAGTTGGAGCCCTCGTTGCAGGGGTTGCTGATGCAGGCATCATTCAAGTGACACAGCAGGCCTGGTGGCATGGCGGGGGGACTCAGTGGCACTGGCCCTGCTTGGGCCGGTCCCTCCCACATGCGACCCAGAGGGGCCCCTATCATGGCCCTCTGGAGCTCGGGGACCCCACGGCCATACCAGCCACACACTCTCACCTGTGCGGCCGTGGGGACACTCGCAGTAGAAGGAAGCCACGCGGTCGTGACAGGTGGCCCCATTAAAGCAGGCAGCACTCGCGCAGTCGTCGATGTTCTCGCTGCAGTCCTCGCCCGTCCAGCCGTTCACACACACACAGTTGTAGCCACCGTGGGTGTTGTGGCAGGTGCCACCGTTCTGGCAGGCGTTGGGCATGAGCTGGCACTCGTCCACATCCTCCGTGCAGTACTGACCTGCGGGGCCGGGGACACTCAGCCCTGATGCCCCCTACAGAATTCTTGGCCCTGGGAGCCCTCCAGAGCCAGCTCCTCCCCCTGCAGCCAGACTGTCCCTCATTCCCCTCTTGGCAGCAGAGTGAGATGTCACCTCAGCTCACCGCTGTGTCTGTCACTCCCACCAGGGAGTCCCCAAGGGCAGGGCCCTCCTCTTCCAGCCCAGCAGGCTCACCCTGAATGCTCAGGCTTCCACCTGGCTCACCAGGGCCCTGGCCAGCATAGGCTGTGTCTGCACAGATCTAGGATGGGCACCGTAGGCCCTGCTCCTGAGAGGAGCTCCCCCTGTGCCACCCTTCTTGACTCCCTGGGCTCTGGAAGCCTGGCCTGTGTGCACCCAGAAAGCTGAGGGCTGCCTGTGCAGCCCATACTTCCAACAGCCAATACATCCACGTGGCCAGGCCACACCCCCAAATACATGCTTGCCCACCCAGCTGCCTCACAGCCTGTTAACCCCACCCGGGCCACACCCTAGACCAGCAGCCACGCCCAGGCCACGCCCCACAGGCCCCCACCACGCCCACGCTTCACCCCGCCTACTCACCTGTCCACTCCGGTGGGCAGCGGCAGTTGTAGGTGTTCACACCATCCACACAGGCACCCCCATTCCTGCAGCTGTTTCCTGGGCAGTCATCCACATTCTCCTCACAGTTCTGGCCGGTGAAGCCTGCCAGAGGGGCCACAGGTCAGCTTCCGCCCTGGGGGGTCCCAGCCTGCCCCAGAAGGCACAAGCTTCTGCACTTCCCCTTGGGCCCACGATGCCCTGCTCGGGCCAGAAGGGCTGCCCTGCTCCAGCACTGGGTCCTGTGACCAGGCAGCACCCCATGCACACAGGCGACACAGTCTTCTGCTAGAAATCACAGTGTGAGGGCCCGCTGACCAGGGATCCAGGAGCACCAGGTCTGGAAGGTGCTGCCACAACCCCTCCTGCCTCACAGGCTACCAGAGGCTCCAGCAGTGGTTCCCCGGTGTGTCAGGGCTCTCTATGACAATCCAGGGGGGTGGCACAGACACCTGCATCTTGGGGGACTGATATCAGGGCTTGGGAGCCTCCACACTGGGGGGTGGCCCTGCTCAGCCAGGAGGTGGTGGACCTTTCTGAAGGTATAGAGCTGGGTTGGCCCCCTCTTCCCAAACAGCCCAGGGCCACCCCCAGGTGCAGCCCTGCTGCTTAGCCCCACGAGGGCCTGCTCAGCAGCCAGTTAGCTATTAATCCACTCAACTCCCGCCAGATCAATGATCAACCCAGAAAGGCATCCGGCAACAGCCAAACCTGCAGCCGGTTACTAATTAACACCCCACTGGGATGCCTTTGACCCCTCCTGTCTGCCTCCTCCCTCCCAGACCCCCACCCCATCAGCCACACCAGAGTCAGGGCAGGAAAAGCCAAAACAGCAGCGATCAGGCAACTTGGGAAGCAGTTCAACTGACTCGGGGTGCAGGACCCTGAATGTTCCCTTGGGCCTCAGAGGGCTGCACGAGGGCTAGCACCACTTCTAACCCCAGCCCAGGCTTGGCAGGTTCAGGGGCTGCCACAGCTCCTCAGGTGGGCATCTGGGTGTGGGAGCTGCGTGTCAGGTCCAGGCAAGCCCTGGGCTGAGTGCCACTGGCAGTACCCCAGCTGGCCCTCACGTGAAATGGCCCAACCTGGCATGAGGTCACAGCTGGGCCCTCCTCAGAGGGTGTCCCAGCTCTGCATACCATCTCCAGGACCCACTCTTCCTCCCTCATGACCCAGCACCCCAGCTGCCCGGTGTGTGCTGGGTCACCTGGGTCGTTGCCCTCACTGCCCTAGATGGGCTGGTGCCAGTTGCATGCCTGAGATCCTCCAATGAGGCCCCTCCCACCCCCACCCCCAGCATGCACTGCAGCCCCACCAGAGCGCAGCCCCTCAACGCATGTGGCTGACAGAGGTCTTAGGAGAGGTCTCAGGCCTGGTCACCGGGCCAAGAAGGCTGGGGGGCAGGAAAAGGAGTGGCCTGGCCTGCCCTCATTCACTGATGACTTTCAGGAAATGCAAGGCCTGGGCTGGTCCCAAGGCCTGGGCTGGCCTTGCAAGCTGCGGCAGCAGCCAGCTTCCCCTGTGCAGGGGCTGGGGTGCCCTGGGGTGGCACCACCCTGGGTTCACCTCTAGGGCAGCTGGACCCTGTGCACCCTGGCTCCCCGACCCTGAGCCCCTCCCCGCCTAACTGCTATGGCTTTAGCTGACAGATGAGATTACAGGAAGTAATACCGTGACGGAGGTGACATGCATACAACCCTGTCCCCAGAGATGGGGGAAACATGGGGGTTACACGGGCCAGGCGCACCCTCAGCAGCAGAAGCCCTATAACTCACATGTGGGTTTTAGGAAACTGGACGTGGAATAGCCCAAGCAGCTGCAAAGACAGGGCAGGGCCCGCCTGGGAGGCCGCGGGGACCACCCAGCAGGGATATGCCTATCCCGGAGGCAGGACAGAGGGAAGGAGCTCAGGAGTCATGGGCCCAGGACCAGCCCTCCACTGACCACATGTCAAGCAGAAAGGGCCTGGGGTAGATGGTGCTGTCGCAGGGCATTCAGCTGGGGCCCTGGCCTCACACCTGCCCCCTCCCAGGGATCGCTCCACACGCCCCACTCCTGTGACCCCTGGGCAGACCTACCTGGCAGGCACGCACACTCATGGGTGGTCTCCCCTGTGGGGCGGCAAGTCCCCCCATTCTGGCAGGGCGAGGGGCTGCAGGGAATGTAAGGCAGCTCGCAGTGGGTGCCGGTGTGCGTGGGGCGGCAGGCGCAGCGGAAGGAGCCCACTTCGTTGTGGCAGGTGCCCCCATGGCGGCACAGCCCCGGGGTCTGGCTGCACTCGTTCACATCCTGCCGGCAGGTGGGGCCATGGAATCCAGGCCGGCAGCCACAGATGTAGGAGGCCTCGAAGGGCAAGCAGTGGCCACCATTGGCACAAGGGTTGGAGGCACACGGGTCAGCCTGCTGGCATGATTTCCCTGGAGGCAACAAGGTAAGGGGTCAGCGGGCCACCTCACCCATAGACAGGGAGGCTAGGGACAGCTTTGGGCACTGTGGAGGCACCAGCCAGGATCACCCAGGGCTGTAACAACTGTTTCTACACCTGCAGGACCAAGGGTTCCAAGGGTCCAAGTGACCACCCAAGGATAGGACTAGCATAGGGGACAGTATGGTTGAGGCCTGGAGTGGGGCTGCTGAAAACCAGGCCACTAGAGGGCTATAAGCAGGGCCCAGAGTTGTTCAGTGCAGCTGTGGGAGCCTCACCTGACCAGCCTGGGGGACAGCGGCATTTGTACTCTGTGAGCGTGAGCAGGTCACAGGTGCCCCCGTTGCGGCAGGGCCCAGAGAGGCAGGCGTTGTCCAAGGGTGTCAGACAGAGGGGCCCGGAGAAGCCCAGGGAGCAGCTGCAGGTGTAGTCCACGGTGCTGCCCCGGTCCACCACGTGGCAGGTCCCGGCGTTCTTGCAGGGGTTGCTGAGGCAGGGGTTGCGGTCCTGGCATAGCTGGCCCACGTAGGGCCCGCTGCAGCTGTCAGAGACACACAGACAGTTAGCTTCCCCCAGGCCCGCTGTCACGGCTACGGCGGCTTCCACTGCGGGCAGCATGAGCAGCCAGGCATGCGCCCCAGAACCAGGCTGGAGAGCTACAGGTGGGCAGACATTCCTCAGCGCGCCAGATGTTCTAGAACTGGACAGGAAGAGGTGGGAGACCGCAAAGGCTCCGAGTGCTAGGGTGGTTCACGCTGCAGAAGTCAGTTTCGTTACGTGACTTTCACCTCCACAGAAGGAAGCACCATGGACCGGTAACAGGACAGGCAGAGGCTGGGACACCGCAGCAAAACCAGCCTGGGGTTAAAGCCCCAGCAGGTGGGCAGGTGTCTACCACAGGGAGCAGGCTGGGCACAGCCTTCAGGGGAGGCCGCCTGCTCTCTTCCTCTAGCTCCCTGGTGATAAATATGCATCAGCGTGGGTAATGAAAGAGCTCACGGTTTCTTCAACTTTCAAATGCCAATGCCTCGGCAGACCCGGCAAGCAAGCACAGGACTGGCAGCCCCTTTTCTTTCTGCAGCATCCTCTCCAGGGCAGCCTCAGCTCCCTGCCTCACTTTCCGCTCTGCTTCCAAGTTTTCATGGTACACAGCAGCTGAGAATCTTACAGCTGGGGAAACCCAGATGCCATGGGAGGCATTTCCAGTCGACTGTGAGCCGGTCCTGTCCCGCTCTGGCGCACAGTCCAGGCCCTGGCAGAGGCAGATGGGCGGGGAGACACCTGCTTCCAGGCTGGTCCCACATGTTCCCTGCAGGGATGGGCTTGGCGTCTGCCACACACCCCTGGGAGCTGCCTCAGCCACCTGCTGGCCCATAAATCGCTGGCCTTGTCCCCTCCAGGTCTCATCCCCTGCGGGCTCTGGGAGCAGCCAGGCATCACTCTTCCCAGCAGCAAAGCCTGTGAGGCAGAACGTGCTGGCCCGGCAGAGCCACAGCAGGACATGGATGGAAGGGCTGGGGGCGGCCTCCTCCCACCTGGGAGCCACCTGAGTCCTGTCCTGTCTTCCAGAGCCGTGCCTGAGGACTGCCACCACCTGCCCCAGGATCACATCACAGCACCAGGGCACCCCAACCCCATGATGCTCCCAGGCACCCTGCCCCACAAACCCCAGCCCAGAGGTCCTTGCCTGCTTCCGCCCCAGCCGCAGACATGAAGCCCAAAGGCAGGACAGTCCCAGGAGCACCTGAGGTGCCTCCGCTCAGCAGCAGGGTTGCTCTCAGCCCCAGAGGTCTGGGAGGCATCTGTCTTCCCTGAAGTCTTTCATCTGGGGCCGTGCTTGGGTGGGAGGACGCAAAATGGCCACTCTGACTGACCATCTGTTGCCCAAAGCCAAAAGTCCCCAACCAACTGGTTTAAAGAAAATAAACCGCCCCGCCCCCGGAGAATTCTCTCAGGCCTTAAGGACGACCCAGTGTGGGAAGCTGGGGGCGTGGGCAGCCTGGGAAGCGGGAGGCTTCCCATGTGGCCTCCATGTCACACCTGCCTCGAGAGGCACCACGGGCTCCTGCAGGGCCTCACTCGGAGCCCAGTGGGGCGCAGGCATGGCCCTTGCTGTACTGGGATCCAGTTCCGGTTGGCCCAAGCAGCCTCAGGGAGCCAGGGACCTGAAGGCCAGGCGGACAGAGCAGCCTCCTCCTGTATCAATGCCCCTTTGTGAGGCAGAAGTTGGCCGAGGCCCACTTGGAGAAAGGGCTTTTTTCTTTCCCAGCTGCTGACGAAGTCAGCAGGGGGTGGGTGCAAGACAGAGGGCGCTCAATCATCAAAGCCAGGTCGGAAGCACCATCCGGGACTCCCTGGAAGCTGGGCCTTCGGCCACGAAGGCCAAGGCACCAACGAGCCCACCTGGGCAGGCGAGATGTCACAGGCCCAGGCTGATTCCCAAAACTCTCACGTGGCTAGGCTCTGGGTCCTTGGTCCCAGTGGGTCAGCCTGGGGCCTCGAAGAGGTGGTCATGGGATGCTGCCAAATGCCCCAAGGCCCTGCCCACACAGCCACAGCATGGTCCCTTCTGCATCCCACAGGGCCCTCAAGCAAGGACTGGGGAACCCACTTGGCTGGATACAGGCTGCCAGCGAGGCTGCACCACGCAGGACCAGTGGGGAAAGAAACGTGCCCAATAAATCAGGAGGCGGCATCATGGACAAAGGGCAGCCAGGGAGCAGGTGCGCCTGTGGACAGACAGCTGCTCCTGCGGGCGCGGCCAGCCGCCAAGCCTGCGGGCGGGGCAGGAGCAAGGCAGCCAGTGGCCGAGCAGGCTCCACGTGGGGGAATGTGGTGGCTGAGAGGGCCCTTTGTCCTCCCCACTGCTATGCTGGGCCATGGAACTCTGAATGAAGCCATGATGCTATGGACGGGCAGGGCCACAGCGAGGCGACAAGGGCAGAAAGGGACAGCCATTGAAGCAGCTCTGAGGCCCAAAGGCCCTTTCTCTGCCCGTGCCTGGGCTCCCACTCCAGCTCTGCCCACCTGCCTGCACCTCTCCGCCACCCGGCTATGGAGCTGGGGCTGCCTGGGGACAGACATGTGTCACCTTCCTCCCCCAATACTGACATCCCTGGGGAGATGGGAGGGACCTCCAGGCTGCAGCTCAGTGTGGCCGGGGCCAGCAGCCCTGAGACCTGGACCCTCACAGCCTGGGCAGTAGCATGTGGCCACTCCGTCACCAGCACCTGTCCTGGCAGCTGGGGGTAAGCCATGAAAATCGGCATTTGGGCTTGGCCAAGAAAGTTGAATCCAACAGCTGGCTGGACCTGGGGAGTCCCAGAGTGTGCCTAGGCCAGGGTCCAGTTCTCCCACGTGGGAGCCCCGAGGTTCCCTGGACAGGACAACACTACCCACCCTCTCCACTCAGTGCCCTCTGTGGAACCCAGCCCCTTACCAGGTGTGCCCAAGACAGGCTCCCTCTCAAGGCTGCTTGGGTACCTGCTTAGCCACTTCCCCCCACCCCCAGTGGCCTGGCAAGTGCTGTGCAACCTGCTACATCCCAGCCTGGGCAGGTGAGCGGCAGGCGGCTTCCGGCTCTGGCAGAGCCAAGCCACACAAACTGCTCCTGAGCCTGCTGTCCTGAAGCTGCCGCCTGCCCTTTGTTCCCAGCCGCAGTATTTCCACTGTGCTGGCTCCGCTGCCCGCCCGGGCAGTGTGCTCCATAGAAATGCGACTCCCCAAAGCCTCCGGAGGCAGATGTTGCTGCGACCTTTCACCCAGCACTAATTCTAAATTGTGCTGTTTTCCTTTCCAAGCTAAGCGGCCATCTGCCACCCCAGGGGACAGATGACAGCTCCCTCCGCCCCAAAATGAGGAGGAGGGGCAGCAACGCAGTGGGGGCATTTACTCAGCTCCTGCCCACAGGGGGTTTAGGTTGGGGGTGAGGGGGCAAGAGACGGCTGAGCCAGGTGGTCCTAGGTGAGCCACTGGGGCAGAACTGTCATGGGTGGGGTGACTACAGCAGAGGGCCTGGTAGTGACCAGAGGAACTTGGGGTGAGGCTCACGGGACCCCGTCTGGCCTGCTTCCCCAGTGCAGTGGGAGTTGGGGCAGGGGATGGCACAGTGTGAGGGCTCTGGGCCTCGGGCAGCAGTGGCAGCACATCGAACTCATCACAGCTGGTGGGAGGGACCTCACCCTGGCCCAGACTGGCTGACAGGAGGTCCACAGTCCAGCCCGAGGGCCCGGCATCTACAGCCAGGACCAGCACAGCATTGTCCCTGCACCCACGGGACCAGGGACAGACAGCAGCCCTGCACTCCAAAGGATACACTGAGCAGCTGCACTCTAAGCAGGCACGGTGGCAGAGGAAGGGAGTGGGGAAGACCCCCGGTCTGGCCCGTCCCTCCTCAGAAGTCTGAAGTTTCCCCAGCACAGTACAGCGCAATGCAGTCCAAGGCCACCACTCCCAGGCAGCCCGGGCCATCCCCACCCAGGAGCCAGACCTCCCAGTGCCCTGCCCGCCTAGAAGTCCACTCCCCAGCCTTGGGCACTCTGCCCAGCGAGGGGAGTCTGGGCTCTGCGCCTGTTCTGCTCAGCCAAGACACAGCCAGGTCAACCACACACGACCCACACTGCTTTGAGGCGACCCACCTGCACTACCGTCCCTGCCCGGGCCAGTGGGCATCTGTGGGCAGGCTGGGAAGTGTGTGTGACATGGGCCCCTGCTGAAGGGGGAAATGAGGTCAGGGCTGAGTGGTCTAGGGAACAGACCCAAGCATGGGTCAACAAGCCGGGCCCTCTCCCTGGCCAAGGCTCCTGGGATGCGGGAGTCCTGGAACAACATACCTGGCTAGTCCAGGCCCCCAGTCCAAGCAGGGACCACCACCAACCAGGACCTAGGGCTTGTGGCAGGCTGGGCATGAGCTTGGGGACCTGTGGGATGCCCTGTGCCCTCCTGGGTCCCAAGGACAAAGTGTGGGAGACATGAGACCCTCAGGGCTCACTGTCTCATCCTCTCATGCCCCAAAGAGCCACAGCACATGAAGCCACAGGTGCAGCTAAGCCCACCACGTGGCCCAGGGTATGGAGGCCACAGCCTGGGACTGCAACCTGCCACCATTGCCCAGGAGCAGCCAGAGATGACCTGTGGTCTCTCCCAGCCTTGGGAGCAGGGAAGGGGCCAGGGCTGTAGGGAGGCTGGGCCCCCACCCCAACGAAGGGCAGACAGCTCCCAGCTCCACACAAAGTGCCATGACACCTGAGGGCAGCCATGGGCAGAGGAGGGCACAGAGCTGAGCCAGGGCAGGCAGATCAGTCCCACGGGCAGCCACAGGGCCAGCAAGGTCCCAGTCAGCCGGCTTTCCAGCCCACAGAGCTCCGACTTCCCCCCACAGCACAGCGCCGCCTTGGACAGTTCAAATGCACTGAATGAAGAGGGAAGAGGAAGCAGAGCGGGAAAAGCAAGCTTCCTCAGGGGCTGGGGAGCCCTTTGTGCAGGGGAGAAGGGACGGAACCTGTCCTCCAGGAAGCCACCTTTCCCACCGCAGGGAAACAA